GTGCGAGTACGTCACTTGTCTCAAGAACACTTCAACAGCGAAAGCGACTGACACGATCATCAATGAAAGCATCAGTGTTCCGAGGAGGTCAATGAAAGGTCTTCTTCTTCTATTCTATGAGCCATATGTCGCGGGTTCGAGAGACAGAGAGAAGACATTCAATCCTGACATCACTGAGGTGAATGTGGTTGAGTGGAATTCCGAATAAGGTTTACAGTCAAGGAATGAAGACAAGGGACACGTGGGAAGAAGTCCTCAGAAAATTTGCTAAGGAAACAGCGCGATGAATGCAACAGACTTTTTAAGCTAGAGACAGATTCGGTCTTTTCATCGATCTCAAGAGTATGAGAGACTATTATCTTCATGGAAGTAGATTGAAATTGGTTGATACGAAAGAAGGAGTCCAGCCCGCAATTAAAAGGAAGGTATCAGGTTCAGGAAATGTGAAATATGACATCTTCATCCTTTTTTAGATGTTCAGCTCGACACCATCAATAGGGAGCTTGAGAGGTGTGACCTATTAACGAGACATATCATTTATAAATACACAATTTTGACAGAGGAACAAATAAAGGTACACCACGACCTCTTTATCAGAAGATACAATATTGATGTTGATCCTGTCGTAAACTGCAAAAAACTACGTGAAGCAAAGGCATGAAATATTCACTGAGACGATAAAAAAGATTTCCCTTTCACGCGAACGACGAGAAGAGGATCGTTCAAAATGATATTTTTACCCCCTTCAGAACTCAGCAGCAGGACATGGTCAAAAACGTGAAGGAGGGTGTGAAATATTTTACAGGTCACGATTCTTTGAATAATTCAAGTTACCTTTAAAATCATGGTTGATTTCAAAATGTGCAAGAACTGTTTTTTTAAATCAACCTCGACTCCAAGGTTGGCATCATGAGTTGCCTTTAAAATCAAGGTACAAGGTTTTATGGCCAATCAGAGCGCGCCTACTATTTGAATTATTTTATAACTATTACGTTGTTACATGGTTTTGAGGAAATTTTTATGGTTAACCTTTTTTACGACTGACAGTTAAATTTGTCAATTTTTACATCACAGGAATTCAGTAAAAAGGAAAACAGTATAAAATCATTTCGCAACAACAAAGAAGCTAGAGTTGCTCTCGGCTACGCCTCGAGCAACTCTTACGCATCTTTCGTGCTCTCCAAACTTCCCAAGTGCTTCATATCTCGACGAACGCACAGCTGACGTATGAACCTTTGTTTTATAACATTTTCAACCCGGTGGAAATTTTTTTTCTCAAGGAATGTGTTTGCTGACGTCATGAGCGTGCACAATAGGAATATGAAGCACGCTCGCGCTATTGAATCTGATTAGACAAATTTACTAGCTATGTTATAATTTATCTTTTATGCCCACTGAAATCTAGCACTTGGGTAGGGCAATTGAACATGATTTTGTCCTAGGGGCGGGAACAAATCTTCAAAAGGTAAAATTCCTAAGGTGGGGGGATGTCGAGGCTTTGAATTGATCGACGCATTATTTTTCCTTCTCGTATAATAATATTAATATCCCTCCGTCCAATGATGTAATCTGTTTCATAATCACCGAATATAACCCTGCCACGATGTCTTCATTCACTCACTACACAGCCTAATGATTTTTCCGTTAAGGATATCTACCATAGGGGTTTTCAACGGAGTGGGGGTGAGTCCTACTAATATTGTATCTCTGCTTTTCAGTTGCGATTTTCACAAAGTTCAGCTTGGTTTTTCCGCGCGGAAATGAAAAGCCCTAAACTAATTTTGATATCCTCGAAAACAGCTTTATTTTTACTTATCATGAGCATAACACTTAACCAATTCTGAGTTATACCGCATGGGAAAAATATTAGTTGAAAATTTGCTGCGAAAGGTGACGTTTGTATTTTGAAATATTGGTGACTTTCAAAAGTGTTCCGTGAGCTCCAAATTGAATGAAATGGTCCCGTTTTAAACAGCCATACCTCAATTTCTTTGATACAAATTTGTCAAATTGATACGAGCTTTCTTGTTTTCATAAGCAAAGTTCGTTTGCCCCTACTTGGGTCACTAGTTTTTGCCATTTAAGGCAACCGATGCTCGTTTCAGTTTTCGTTAATTTTCAAGAATAAAGAGGCAAGTCAGGAGAGAAAGACCTTGCCACGTTTCTAAGTTCACTATGAAGGTATCGCTGACTGAAATGTGAGAACAGTCATTTTTCGGTCGATGTGCCACCTTTAAAACGGTCTTGAAGGAAAGTCACCCGTAAGCCGCCAGATTGAGCAGCCAGTGGACTAGGACTTCAAAGTTGGAAGACTGCTGAGTGTCCAAGCGCTGGGTATGGAAGGGTTGCAACTGACGCTGTCAACGCCTGCTCACTAGCAATACCACAGTCAAACATTTAGCAAGGAGATCAACCTCGGCTGGTTTGGCGCCAGTTTTCCGCGATGTATCTTCAAAAGAAAACAACATAAAAGCACGTCACGCAAAATATGGAGAGAGAAGTACAAAAATTCATAGAAATCTGTAAAAGGAAACAAAAGTAAGGAAAAGGAAGAATTGATACATTTGGAGCACATACCTTATTTGACTATGGGCATTCTTTTCATTTATTATTTGTTTTGAGCTTTATCAAAAATGTTGTACGCTTTTGAATTACCGTGACCTACTTGCTTGCGGGATTGCTTATAATTTCTGTACAACAACTTGGTTCTGACAGCCTAAAATCACCCAGTCACTACAACGTTTGCACTTGCGCTGACGTTTTGCACAAAATACCATGCAGGCTCTCGCTTTGACTTCCACTGCCTGTAGCATTTTCTCATAATGTTACTCTACCATTTCACTCATTCGTGTTTCCATTGCTCACTTGGAAGCTATCAAGCAATTCATAGAAGGAAAAGATGAAAATCTACTTAGATTGGCCTCGAAAGCAAATCAATTTTCTTGTTTTCGAGAATTAAGAATTGTAGCACATAAAAGAGGAGCAGTTTTTTAGTTTCTTTTTTTCATTAAAAAAAATCTATGTTAGCGTGTAGAGTGGTATGTTGCTCACACCAATCAGATCGCCGCATTTGGGTATCTCGTACTAATCGCATTGCCACCTTAGGGTATGTAACTCGCACCAATCGTATCACAGCATTTGGATACCTTGCACCAATCACAGCATTTGGGAATTGTTTTCTTCCAACTGAGATCATGGAATTAGGGGGCTGTGCACAGAGAATGACATAAACAATAAATTGCGGGCTCATTTGATAAGTGTAATAGTTTGTGGCCTTCGCGAGAGCCTCGTCGATTAAGGTCGCGGTTTATCGAGATATGAAAGATTTGCATCATTTGTATCATATTTAAGTTAAAACGTGTTTTTCCGCTCCTTTACTCTCAACTTCCAACACAACATAGCCAATCACTGCACCACATGAACATTAGGCAATTTTTCACATGCTTGAGTTAAATTCCACTAATCAAATTCCAGTTTGCCAAATTAGGTTTCGCTCCGTTACGTGTCATTTCCTTGTGAACAACCTGCATTTAATCACTCGTTCTAACCGCATTGAAAAAAAATTCACATAAAATTAACTACTAAGAGTGAATTTTTTTCACGCAATTCTCCTACGTTTTTAATTTTTTCTAAGAATAAAATTGGCTATTAGCTACCTTGAACTTAATCCAATCGCGTGTTAATTCCTTGTAAACAACCTGCATTTTTATCACGTATTTCACAAATAACATGAACAACCATTCAAGGAGCCAGCCCTCTTTGAAACATTATCCTTTTCTCTTATTAAATGTGTCTTCATTTATTTTTTCGAGATTGCAATATATCTTTGGTTAGGGTATATTGGAGATACAACAGAATTTCAGTTCACTTTTCGTAGTAGAATTAAGTGGAATTATATATGTTTAGGCAACTAACTGTAAAGATTAATTTTGATTTTCTCTCTTTTAGAGGAACGGCAGTAAGCGTAGTCTCTTTCGCAAACGTTATTTGGTCTCAGCAAGCACGCAACGCGCTCTCTCTCCAACGGGGAATAGATGGCGTTGTGTGACGAGACCAGACAACTGTTGCAAGGGGAGACAATGGTAAGTATGGCACCGATACATTCTAATTTTGCTTAGAAGTAGTTAGACAATAGAGACAATAGACCACAAAATACCTCTGTGAGTTCAGATACGTTACGCTTTTTTCTTTCTCTTAAAGTGAAGTAATGCCATATTTTCGTCCGTTTGAAAGCTATGCTCTTTTTCTGTTACAAAAAATGAACACATTAGGCACACAAAGTGCCCCATCTCAACCCGCCCAGCCGAGGAAATAACTCTTGCATGCTACGCATGCCTATGTTTTTATTTTCACGGGAAAGGAAACGGGGAGTAGCGTAAGCCCATTTCCTGAACGTCGGCCGGTAATCGAGGCCACTGCGGCGGATACATGATTCGCTCATGATTGGCCACAAAGAAGGGGAGACTACAATCCTCATTTTCCCTACTCTACATTTTTCACTTTCGAGGTTTTCCACCTGTTACTCTCTTTCCCACTCTCCAGTCATTCTTGAAGTCGTACCCTACCTGACGAAAAATATCGATTTTCGCTGTTGTTTTGTTTTTCTTAGCGGTAGAGACTATGCTCGACGGATTGCAATATGTTAAAAATTATCGTGTAATAAGTTAAAAATAGACATGTCGTTACTGAGCGCGTTGTCATATGCGAAAGAACGATGCTAGAGTCGGCCAATAATCGTTCAGAAACCCGCAACGTCATAAGGACCATTTCACGATGCTCGGGGAGGGGCTAAGTGGGAAATTTATTTGGGGTAATCTTCTCCTATACTTATCCATGATTACTGAAAATTTTGTACCTGATATTGAAAAAGTCTTTCCGATAGGAAATTTAGAGAAAATTTTGTGTTTGCTAAGCCATGAAGGACCTATTTTAACTGCATTCTTTTATAAGTAGCACACTACCCTGCACAGTATGTAAATCAGGTCGCAGCAGGTCAATCAAGTATCTGAAACCACGAGAGCGGCTCGAGTGTTGCTGTAGTTCGTCTTTTCAGAGAGCTAAACCTGTGTGTGTAAACTTTCTTAATTCATCAATCAAAACAAATCCTACTTTCCTAGATGAGCGAATTTTTTTATGGTGTTTGCGAGGAAGACCTGGATGGCAGTAAAGGATTCAAAGGTATACTGGTGCTGCGTGAGATTTTTCAAGTAATTTTTGACGAGGGTAGTTAACGCGTGTACATTACCCAAAGACTTAAATTTTCTTGGGTTTATCAATTGGTTACGGGCAAGAAATCAAGGAATTGCAGTATACTATTTGATCGTTTGAAGTTCAAAAGGAAGTCTGGACAACAAATGAAGGACGAAGGGGTTACAAATTCACTGATGGCCACCAACAGTGAGAGCTGCTTCGCGTCTCGCGGATCCATTTTTGCCATTGTCGATAACATTCACTGGGCGATCGCCAGCGCCAAACACAACAAAGCTTATGTCCTTCGATTTGTGCCAGTACTTAAGCAGATTACAAAAGTTTTGAACGGAGCAGATGTGAAATTCATACGCCAAGCCGAATTCTACAGCGATCTGAAAGAAACCCTATACAAGATTGAAGACCACGTTAAGGAAAGTTCAACTCGTGGAAAATGGATGAATAGGTTGATGGCCAAGAAGAATCAAAAGAGTTTCAATGAATTTGAGAAGCATGTGGATGATCTCATAACACGAATCGTTTTTTCGTTCGCCCAGCGAGTTCAGCAGCAGAACATGGCTCGGCAAAAGAAGAAACCGTTGCCAGAGATACCGGAAGAAGATGAGTTGTGCGAATGCAAGATGGACGTGGAACGTGCTTGTCCGTTAGCAACAAATGATGATACTCCAGGGGAGGGAGTATCTTTGGCAAGTCAAGAAGATGACGTGACTGGCGAAAGATAAATGTTCAGCTTTGTTGTTATCTTCTATGACTCAAATGCTCGAAATACATACGTGAACAGTTGAAAACAGCGCCTGTTAAGTGAAATGAGCTTTCATTTTGAAGCTACAACTTATTCAAAGTTGGTTCAAACAATCGTGGGAACACACAAACAAGCACTTGATTGTTACTCCTTTGTTATCCCCATCTTTACTAGAACTTTTAGACGCAAAGCTATTGTTTTAAAAAGATGTACTTTATTAATTAACTTTGAGCCTTTTTAAGTTCCAAGGTCTTTCAAAGAATTGTTTATTTAGCTCTGTATATGGATTGGGAAATATGGAACACGGTTCCTATCAAAAGCATAAAATACATATTTGTGATCATTATTTATCAGTAATTTAATGATAATTTTGTATTTGTTCAGACTTCCTTGCCTACATTGGGTTGCATTAGATTTAGGTGATGGAAAGCCTAAAAAGTTTGTTTCTCTTTTTTATCACAAGTGATGATACATACAGTAGAACTCTAATTACTTGCACCCTTAAGGGAAACAAAAAAAAAATGATTAAGTTAGAGAAGTTTGAGGTTGGTATCCTGTTGATTACCAACAAGGAATTATATTTCTACCATTTGCCATTTCTGTACATCAAGTTTGTTGTCTTTTTTTTTAAAGAATCTTTAGTTTGGAAAGTTAAGCTGAATGTTTTGTGTTTAAATAACTTATATTTCATTTGTATTAATTGGGATTAAAGATTAGGACTCGTAAATGAGCTATGCTCTGACACTTTGACATTATAAACATACTTTTTCTTTTAGGGTCAAGTTACAAGGGTAATTTTGAATCTAGGGTAAGTAAAATTAGTTTAAAGTAAAAGGGAGTTCAAGGTAACCAAGTTAGAGTTAAGCTGATAGTAAATGACTGAAAAATGGGTTCAAATCCAAGGAAAATCACATCTTGTTTGAGTTAAAAAGGTATCAACTTAGGAAGGTTCAAGATAGCAATGTATTACTGTATTTCTTGTTGAAAATTAAAGGCTGGTCAATTCTTGTTGGATGAGCTTATCGATGATAAGTAAAGCTTTGTGCATGTATGGTCTGAGCTTAAATTAGGGGACATATTAAGAAAAATTATATTGTTTAATCAACTTTTCACAAGTAGTCAGTTTACAATGATCACCTAATTATGGTATTGATAATGAATTTTACAATGCTTGCCTCTATCTGTGGTGAGCATATTCTCAATTTCTAAGCAGAGATTTATTCCTTAGTAACTCATGCTTTTGTCTTTTTAAATTTGTGACACCTTCCCAGCAGTACTTGTGAATATTGTGCTTCAGGTCCAATTGAATCTGTATCAGTGGTGTTTGTTACTGGTTCAGAAGATGAATGGTTTGGCAGAATGTGTATTCTGAAAATGGTGAAATCTAAGGCTACTCTGTTTGGTGATTGGATGACAATTATTACTATGTGTGAAGGCTACTCCTTGTGTTCTCCCCATATTCCGCATGGGTTATTACCCTGTTAATTCATTACAAAGTGTGATCTACTGCTTAATTCATATACTGCTGATTGGATTTGTCCAGTTAGGAATAGGTAGAAGGAATTTAGTTGAGCATTTTGCGGTACAAAAATGACTTTAAATTTCATGTCTTTGTTGGTAGTCCAGAGTATGCTCTCAATTCAATTATGACAAATTTAGAAAATGTAATTGGTTGTCATAACTGGTGAACCAGTAGAAAGTGTGGTCCATTTCTAACCTAACTTATTGCTGATTGGAGATATCTAGTTAGTTAAAAGTAGAAGGAATTTTGTCAAGAATTTTTCAGTGTGGAGCTGCTGTGTTCATGAGATTAAAATGCCAACATTAAATGGATATTATGAACTCATGTACCCAACTTGCAATTTTCACCCACTATAACTGTTATGTGGTAATTACAGAAGATAAGATATCCCTACCCCTAGGATCTTAGGAAGTTCCAGTTCCCAATTTTTACAGAGTAATTTTATGCAAGGCTAAATATTGGGTGCATAGTATTTCATGTTTATATCTTAACCTCTGGAATCCTTGACAGATTGAATAGGAGAGACTAGTTAAGAACTGCATTCATAAGTAGAGGATATCAGAGGGGAGACCTGTCCTCCCTCATAGTGCTGTGAAGAAATGTTTCCAATCATTGCATTCCATTAATAATATGGTCAGCAGCACAAGTAGACAAACAATTCTTCAGCAAAGTAGTGAAAGCCATACAATTTCTAGAATATCATGGAGGACTTAGGTAATTGAGAGATTTGCCCTTAGTGTTAACCAAATCTTATACACATAAAGTAGAGGGAAAAAAAACCCTGGAGGATCTTTTCAAATTACAAGTCTTAGAACTCTAACATTCAAACCCAATCTATTTTGTTTTACTTGTTGGTAATATATTTACTGTCCAAAACTTGTTGGCAAAAAGTTTTTTTGTTTTTCCCTAAGCAACTGACGATCAAGAAGTATGTGTCCCAACATTCCTGTTCTGAACCTTTTGAGGAAATCAACATGAGCTCTGCGGTAATCTGGTACTCCACCTAAGAAAATAAACAAACTATCACAAATTTTGAAGAGTTACTAAGTAACAACAATTACAGCAATAAATAAACTTGTAACAAATAATTGCTGATCAAAAATGAAATTACCTATGTCCTAAGAAAAACTCTGATAAAATAAGGATAGAAATTGTCTATATAGTAGATTTATTAACAGAGCTACTGCGTAATGTAAAATTAATCAGTTATCATCAATGGGTGATTGGAAAGTGGGTGAAATATATATTAATCAAATATCAAACATAAGACATCTTTGAAATAATTAAATTTTTTACAACATACCTGATATTGTAGCATTTAGTTTTTTGGCCCACTGTCTCATGACGAAGTTCACGTTATCACTAGGGTTCATGAGGCCAAAGCTTTCCACATATCTAGGACAACAGCATAATCTCAACAATGTTATAATTATCTTAAGTATCATCACTTTGATCAGAATTGTCAACCCTTCGATACCATAACAAAAAAAATATTAATATATATTTTTTTAAAGTTCATAATTTAATATGTTTGGAGGTAAACCAAAAAATGAGGGTGCATGTCAATGCAAATCTCATCTTGTTGACAGCTGCCTATGGCAAAGAGCCACTAAAAACATACAAACTTACATCCATTGACCCAAAGGAAGCTAAAACAAGATGGAACAAAGCCAAAAGACAAACAGATCTAGAAAGAAAATGTGCATGGCTTTTTAATATCATTTTCCCCAAGAAATTTGCCAGTGAGACTAAACTTGGTACACCTAATCCAGTTTTCCTGAATCATGTTAATTATTTCTTGTAATTGTCATTCCCTCTTCCCTCTTTTGTACTTGTGACTGTCAACCAGTTACTCATCTCTGGTTAACTGTAACACAACTATCAATGGAGTTAGGGGAGGGGAAGGGGAAGTTGGAAAGAAAACACAACAGGTTGGGAATTCAATACAAGTAATCCTGTTTGTATTTAGATATTTATAACAAGAGCACCCTGCAGTCAAGATTCTCACTGAAAAGCTCCTTACAACTTAGTTTCATCTTCATGGAGGGAGTTTGCCTAAAAGGTACTGGTATTTCATGTGGTAATATCTTTGTCACAATTAAGTGTTTTTTTCATTTTAGAGGAAACTTAGTGGTCACATAATAAAGTACTTATTCATATCCACCAAAACAGTCACTAACTGTGCTCTGCAAGTTTTAAGTAACACCATAAGGGACTCACTCAAAACGTTTTTCTTTGTTCAAGATATACAACAGATAATCAGCAATCAATTCCTCACCAACAATATGGTCTTTAAAACAACCTATAATAAAATGGAGTAGGCACTGATGTATCCATTATGTACTGAAAGTGTTTTGTACCCTGGAAGCTAAAGGCCAAGGATAACTATGTATAGAGTTGGTCATTGCAAGAGTCAAAACTCAACAGTCCTCATTGAGGGGCATAATTATTGAGATGAACCCATTAGCTCTGGAACAACACAATGTAATATATGGTAAGGGCCCACTATTTAAACAAGGTCTAACCCAAATCAGGGTCTTACACAATCAGTGGGCCTCAAGCTCTCTTTCCAAGACGGTTGATTTCATCAAACAAAAGTCCTTCCACTATCAACTTTTGGCCCAAATGTTCAGATATAAGGTTCACCTAAATTGAGGATTGTTTAGGACACCATTTTGTTAAACAGTGGCTACACTTTGTTTAAATAATCAGCCCTAAATGTTCAAACCACAACAATTGGTCATAAAGACCAACAATGACACTTGTAAGTGGAAGCAACCGACACTTTGACTACCTAGACAGAAGTCATCTACAGATTCATCTGTTGATTCTGTAGTTGATTTGAAGCAGGGAAACTTGTTGTCAAATAACGTTCTGGTATTGTTGCATACAGAGAAATTGATAGATTGTTAACTTCAGTTAAAAGGACTACCAACCAGTTACCTGACTCTGGGGGGAAAGTAAATTGTTAATTCCAAAAAGTTGACCCAAACATCAAGAAAGCCAGGTGATAAGGTGTGTTCTCATCAAATTTTGATACTCAGTATTGCTTGGAATCACTCTTTTATTGTAAATAATTGTACAACATAACCTGGCTGAAACCCGGCAATGCTCTAATATGCAGTAAATGAAACCACACCTATTAATGCTAGCTTCATTCCTATTTCTGCAGTTGGTATATAAGGAGCCACCACACCTGAAAAATTGAGAAACATGGGAAGTACAAAAACAATGCTCTGCAGATCTGTTATAAGTACATCATGTACCCTGACTAACGGTGATTACTTAACTTAACTTAACTACACAGATTACCTGGAGTATCAATCATATATGTTACTGGCTCATCACACACCTGAAAGATATAATTTCAATACCAAAAATGTCCTTCTCAGAGACAGTCATTGTGAAACAAGTGTAACTAAGATCAGTAGTTTCTACAGTTGTAGAACTGAATCCACACAAGCTGGGGATCCTGGAAGCCTATACATTTATCAATATTTTAAAATTTGTATCATGCAGTTGTATGTTTTGGTTTCACAATGAAAAAGATACTTCAAAACACAGTTACTGATTAGGAAAGAGACAGAAAGAAAAGGAATAACTTACAAGTTATGAACTGCCCAGTTTTACCCTGGAGCCTTAATACATCAAATACCATTTTATTTGTGTTCTTGAGAATGGGAGACCATTAGTAATGATGATTTAACAAAGGAACAGAAGAGCTGAACCATAGAAAAAATTGACAGTATAGTCCTAAGAAGGACTGTTGTCGGTAGTGGTGACTAATGTTCAGACAACCTGAGTGGAAGTCAAGTGAACAATTGTGGTAAATTGAATGTTCTAGGTACTCTCATGTAAAATATACAAGTAGAGTTACATTCAGAGTGTTTTTTTTCATGCTTTTCACCTTTGAATAGAAGCAATTAAATTTCTTAAGTTGATGGGTATGGAAAAACCTTTACATATAATGTGTGTTAGTAAAGGTTGTAAGCACCTTACATACATTTACTTAAACTGTATATAAGTATAGGTAATACGCACCTTAAAAACATTTACATACACAGTGTGTAAGTATAGGTAGTAAGCACCTTAAAGTGTTTACTTACACCATGTTTGAGTATAGGTAGTAAGCACCTTAAAATGTTTACATACACCATGTGTAAGTATAGGTAGTAAACACCTTAAAAATGTTGATATACACCATGTCTGAGTATAGGTAGTAAGCACCTTAATTTTTTCTTGCATGGATCTTGTTATCCCTGGAACTGCACCCACTCTAGTTGCTTTGCCTTTACACAAACCAAGAAATCAATAATATTATAGTTGTCTTAATTTCAAAGAAAAAACAGTTTAATTCAAATGTTCCAAAACTTCACCTAAAGTATTGGCATCTGGAAGCAAGAAAATTAAACTTCAGTAACTGCACTTTGTCTTTCACAGGTGCATGTGTGTTGTGGGAAAGTTCACATTCAGAACATTCATAATAACACTTTCCACTGTCTAGCTCACTGCTGAGAAGACTAAAGTTTAAAATTACCATAAAGATCACATAAATATCCACTTAAGGGATATTGCAATATTTAACAGAAGATAAAAACTGGCATGTTTTCAGTAATCATTATAGTAAGTAATTTTCATAATTTCAGAGGGGGCGGGGACTGAAGAAGATTATTAGAGATAGAGCAAATACCTTTCCGCAGGTATTTTCTTCGGAGTGCATTTATCAAAGAAGACTTTCCAGTATTTGGCAAACCACAGGTCAAAATATTGTATGGCTTGTCTGGATTCTACAAGCAAAAGTTAAAAGACAGTTACTGCTTTCAAAATAGTTGATGTTCCTGAGAGATATTTTGTATATGCTACTTGGATTGCAATATGTAGCCAAGACTGCATCGGACTGCTAACTTCATCGTAGGCTGTTGGTCACTCTTTGATTTTTTGGATGTCATGTTGGTGCCATGGGGTCTAGTTATTGAATATGCTTCCAGAAAAATAACTAATTTTATGACTAAAAAGTCATTTTTATTCCACTGTTTCAATGCTTGGGAATTGTAGTTACAATAGTCAATTATTATGAGATTCTAGCTCTCTTTACTTGCATGAGCTCGTACTACTTCACAATATATAAACATAATTGTGGCCCTCTGAAAAATCAAAATTGATATGTTGGTACTAAAGAAATTACTCATTCATCATGAGGAACATTCCACATTCTAAAGGTTGAGATAACATTATTACCCACAGAACATGTGAAATTTCAGGGTGATTGGGGCACCTGGAGTGAATTTATAGTGTTAGATTCCAGTGGATCATATTGCTACTTGCTCCCTATTTTAATACAACCGCACATTCATTAAATTACAAAGCAATTCCATAAAGAAACATTTTTCAAAAAATTACTAATATCACCAATACTAACTGATCTAATGTATGTTCCTTCATATTCAGCATCCTTTACTGCTTCAAGAATAGCTGGCACAACCTGTAAGGTAACTGTCGATCATGATATTGATATATTACAATTACTGGTAATATACATGTATTTTAAAAACACAACAGGTTCACCATTGATTTCAGTGTACTTGAAGGTGCTGCACATGTGTATCAAGAAGTTGTTTCTGCTTCAATCTTAAATCCCCTCTGTATTAAAGTAATTCATTTATGTAACAGCTTAATGTTTTGTCCAATATTTGTGCCTTTAATGAAGCCTGCTTCATCAGGGCTGGTTAAAAGACATGTATTAAATTAATTTATCTGTGCTACCTATTTCTTCATTTGTGATATTAGACAGGCTGGCTCAGTTTGGCTTTGAGGCTGGATGAAATGGCAGCCTGTATAAACAAGGCCACACTTAACAGCAATCAATTAGATTTTGCATTAACTGAGCTATGAAAACAAAAAAACAAAACAATGACAGCAAAAGGGATGTTATCAAATCAAATTTTTAATAAACCTAATCTTTAACCATCTTTTTGTTTACCCTTTTAATGCTGTAATGATATTGAGATTTACTATCAGTAAGCACAGCTCTAGTTCCCTCACTTTCCAGTTGTCTCAGGATCTCCTACAATTCAGAGGTTATTATTGTTATTATCAAACTAATCTTGTCCCTTGTTTATTATACCAGTATCTAATTGTTCAGTTTTCAGTTTGCCCTGGCTTTGCTAGTACAATACTTTGTGTAAACTACCAAACAAAAACTTTTTGTAAGCCACCATAGGCATGACTGCCGCATAAATAAATTTGAAAGCATTCTTTAATACAAATAATTCAGATAGATTCACCTATGGGCGACAGCAAGGAATGAAAGCGATAACAAATGAAGATTGAGGTGAAAGAACAAGGATAAACAGACCAACAAAGGAACAAAGGATAGGTAAAACTGATATAAATTTGTACAGAAAACCCATTACAATGTCCACCCATTAATTACTTTAAACTTACAAGATAGACTGAAAACTAACTATGAAAACTAGGGGATGTAAGCTAAACTTACATTTGTTGCAATGATGGCCAAAATTTATATACTGTCAGCACAAAGGAAACTGAGAAAAAGATGAATAACCTGCCAAAGCCAAGGTGAACAACAAAAGAGTTGCTAGGTAAGGGAAGTATTAATACCCCATGGGTTACCTAATACATGATAAAAGCATGTTAGCTGGACAGAAATTCTAACTAGCCCCTGATATCCAATAGTTTTTTTTTTATTACACCATACAGAATTCTACTAATAGATCTGTCTACCTTTAAAGTAAAATAAAACTAATCAAACCCTTTGCTTGGCCATTCCTATGAGATCCATCTTGTTAAGCACAAGTACATGTGGTCTGCTTGACAAATTATTTTGAAACTTGGGGTTTCTTCCAGTAAAGGGAATTTGTATCTCAGTTAAGGAATACATATGAGTACCTTTGATAGCAATGGTATTCACAAGGTGAATTAAACTGCAAAGGGGTTTTCTGGAATTGAAGGACAATTGTAGGTAAACATATAAAAGTGCCCTTGAAGCTATTAGGAATTGTTCCATGGTACACTTTGCTAGAGCAACATTTCTTGAAAGAGAAATAAACTTGTAGAGGAGTCATGTTAAGTGGTGAGGAAAATTTACAGTCTACACATAATTCCATAGGAGACAAAAAGGTTTTACCATGCCAAAAAGTTTGGGTCAATCTTTGCATACTCAAACTGGTCAATTGAGAAAAGCTTGTCATTAATTTTGAGAGGATTGCAGCGAACGGTCTTTGACTATGATCTTTCCATGCCAAGTTGAATTTTGTTAATCTCAAGATCTTCAAATGGGTTTTAAAAGTTTCCAAAGAATGTTTCAAAAATTTGGCATACCTTCTGTAAAGGACTTGACCCTGACTTCAATCTTGATTGACATTGTCTGCAGGTGCATGGGTGTGTTTTGTGTGTAGGAGGGATATGTGCAAGGAAAAAGAGAGTTTCAAATATAAGGGGAAGATGATTAAGTGGAAATGCAAATGGAATGGCCTTACCCCACTGTGACAATTTGGGATCAAAATAAAGGATATTCTTGCATCATGAACTTCCACAACACAGTCACACTTTGGTAGCTTTAGTTGCATCTTACGGAAACCTAACAAGACAACCACACAATATTTTGGGCATGTCAAGGCTAGACATTCTTGCATCATGAACTTCCACAACACAGAAACACTTTGGTAGCTTTAGTTGCATCTTACGGAAACCTAACAAGACAACCACACAATATTTTGGGCATGTCAAGGCTTGACTTTCAATACAACTCAAGGTACAATAAAATATTTCCATAAGAACCTACAGCCTAAAAATTTTCCTTCACCTTTGACTTGTGAACCAATTTTTGTAGGAAACAAAAACAGCTCTAGATGTCACAGTCACATGTTCTTGATGTTCAAAGATTTGCATTACTTGTGAGAGAAAGCTGTTGGGTGACAAGTTCTTACCATTCAACAAAATGTAAAATTTTAACACTGCTCTGAAATCTTGCTCTAAAGTGTTGTTGGCAAGTTGTGTGATTCCTTTCACTTTGTCATAAGAATGAGATGCATTATATACATACCAACTTAAAATGGAATAAATTGTACAATTATGAAAACTTTCCAATAAAAATCCTAAAAGTTTCAAAGTAACCCACTGTTCTTCTTTATTTCAACTATTGCAATGCTGTATAGTCCTAAACATACCCCTCCAGTTTAAACAGGCAATTCCTTTTGCAGAAACATTGTCAGAATTATATGTGGAGCTGAATATCTTTCACATGAAAACCTCATCCCAATGTTTTGCAATCTAAATAACCTTAATATTTTCAACAAAATTACTTGAAATCACTTGAAATTGAAAACGTTAAAAAAGGTTTAACTCCACCTAAAAGCATTATAATTTAATTGAAGGCAAATGTTTCGCAGCAAGGCTGGTTTCATTCCCTTGGCATTGTGGTATGAAATAAAATTTCATTCACCTGATTTGCACATTTTGCAGTTGATTGATGTTAACTGAACTCTGAAATGGCTTCATGTGATATTGTGTAACAGCACGTGTTTTTTAACTTCTTTACCATAGAAAATTTTTCCTTTTACATAAAAAAAAGTAATTGCATGTTCCCTTGTAAAATTAAGGAAAATACCACTTGTGCTCTCCGAGTTGTGGAAATTGTCCTTGTTGCTGTGTGACTTGGGCAATTCCTGCAAATTCTAAAAACATGCATGACATCTATCCCTAATTTTACTTGGCTCCATGCAATTACCTTTATTAACCACAACATACAATATCAAACATGGCTTCAAGTATATACATTAGATTGATATGGGATTTCAAGTCATTTCCCACCAATCTTTTAAATAAAAAAGTTTAACCTTCTCTGGCTCATACTCAATCCTCCCATTATTATTTTCCTCCTCTAGTGAGATTAAAGAAATTTTTTTTCACCACTTTTCATCACATAAAGAAAGGTACATGTACAATACATGCCAGTAATTATCACCCACACTACTGTAGAACCTATGTTAAGCAGTCTGCAATCCTCCACCGAAGGTCTGGATTTTCTTCACAGTGATCTCACCTTATTCCGCAGATATTCTAGCTTTGAAATGCCGATGTGGACCCTGCATGAAAATGAGGCTACTACATAAAACATCTCACTTATAACTTTGTTTATTATGGGCAAAATAGTATCAAAATAGAATCAAAGATATAACTCTACATTCTTGTTGATGTCTTAAACACATATCTAGTAACTGTGAGTCACAGGATAAGTCAAGTGACTAAGGGAGTATCAAAGTGAGGCTGGTCTACTGAAGTTCCTTTGACCTTCCAACGATGTCTGAAATGCTTTGCTATACTTCATAAACAGCATAGAAATTTCTTAGCTCAAACTGTTTCTTCCTGATTAAATGTGCTGGTCATGTGATTTTAAAAACATGAAAGCAAGGCTTTGATATTTGGCTTTGCTTGACAATTCAATAATACAAAAAGAAAACTTGCTATCATTCCTGATATAATTATTAAAGATAATATTTCTCATAAGAAGACCAGTTGTCAGCCATAGGCACTAGAGATTTAATCATAAGCAAATATTTTTGTAACTTGGGACTCAAAGTGTGTGTAACTTAATCATCCAAAACAGAATTATATTCTTAACCATCTTCATCCTTTTCACTCTTGTTATTATCACCAGAGCCATTGTCTTCATCATTATGCATATTTTCACACATTTCTCCAATATCTCAACACACACATTGATCCATGCAGTTCAGCCCATCATTTCTACACTGACAGCATTTGTCACACATTATGCCCCAGCACACTTGCACTTTACATGATGAATAATAGCCTGAGGTACTGGAGGCAGTTTCTTCATTATAACAACCCAACGGTCACTATCCCATGGTCAACCAAAACTCTAAAGTGATAGCAGGGTGGGATTTGCTACCATATCATTATTCCACACCAGATTGCTTATTGAAATACAACCTCGGTTGGGGGGCAGCCTCTTTGACTGGGCTTGTTTCTAACTAAAGACCACCATCTGGGAATAACACCTGCACCTTCAAGCTCAGAAAGACCCATGATGATTTCAGCTTCCAATTGAAAGCTTTTTAACATGTGGATTTCTCTTTTCCTGAAAAACAACCAGTGTTGTCTGCTCCACTTAAAGCTGGGAGAGTGGCTGCCATTTCAGGACCTATGGTGCAAAAAATTGGCCAAAGAATAATTTCTCGATGATTCCTGCCTGTACCAGTGACAAAAGGGGTTTCTTGCAAAACGTTGAATAATTTCTGAGAGCCAAGACAAAAACCTCAGTGTCAAGAGAATGTTGTACTTCTGGCTGTAGTATCAACGTCATGTAAAATAATCTTCATGTCTACCCCCTTCTGGTTGCTTTGGAGACAAGAAAATCTTCTCTTGTTCCCATGTATTCTGACCTCCTACTAAAACTATACTACTAATCCACCATTTTGGCAGCCAAACTTGACAGTCTTCTATGCTAGATAGTCTCCCAGCACCATCTTTGTTGTGGTGTGTAAAGAAGCTTCTTCATTGGAATCTTTGTGATGTGCATTGAAGCAGTGATTCAATCATACTTCTGATTCATGCCTTTTTGCTTCTTGTTTGAGTATCTCCTTTTAGAGAAGATGGCAGATTGTATTTGTCAAAAAAAAAAAAAGGATTTCTTTATTTTCGCTGAGCATCTTGAAAATGTGACAAACAAAGTGATTTAGTTTTTGATCCATTTGGGTTTGTCCAGGGATTAAACCTCAGATATTGCATCCACCAGAGTGACTCTCATTTGTACTTCTGTAGTTTGGTTGACAGTTCTGTCATTGTCTTCACTTAGACTTACAGGCAGTTTCTCTAAAATACGAATTAAGGCATTCTTACATGAACAGCAAAGTAATGTACCATCAGTAACAAACATTGATCTTGGCAACATGGAGCTTCTTGGATTTCAATCTCTGGCAGACTCTTGTATACAATTATCATTCTTACAAACAGGTTCCTGTCCTCATGCAGCTCCACCATGCTGTTTTCAATCCCTAATTTGATGTTTCTGCCAGCAGTCTTCCAACTGGAAAGCTTCTAGTTCTTCATAAGGTCCCAGAGATTGACTTCCTCCTAGGGACAGGGGCAGGGAGCAGGGGAGAGGGGTTGTAGGATATTTGCTGTGTCATGATACTTCACCTGATCCCTCATAAAGCTCTTACCATCATAAAATTCTTATCATCCCTCCCTCAATGGCAGTTAGTCAGCAGTCATTTTCTACATGCTCCCCTTCATACTCTTTTAGCAACAACAGATTTCCCCTCTGTTCCCCCTGAAAATCATGTGATTTCCAAATCTTCCAGTTTGAGCTGAAACAAACATCTATGCTGTTTATGAAGTATAACAAAGTATTTTAAACATTGTTGGAGGGTCAAAAGAAGTTTTAGTCAACCAGCCTCACTTCCATGTTTGTTTGGTCGCATGCCTTATCTTGTGACTTACAGTAACTAGATATCTGTTTAAGACATCAACAACAACATACAGTTAATCTTTGGTTTTATTTTGGTGCTATTTTGCCCATAATAAATGAAGTTATAAGTCAGATGCTTTATGTAGTAGCCTCGTTTTTAGACAGTCCACAGGGCCATTTTTAAGACATCTTCTAAAAAGCGTTGGAGCAGATTGCAAAAGTGGCAACACGATATTTCTGTTTATTCAGTGTCCCCTTTCTATATCTGGTGCAGTAGCTTGCTTTCAGCAAGAAATTTTCACGTGAGTACAAATACTGTCAGACTACTACTTGAATTTCTTTTAAACCATAATGTAAGCACATACCCCCAAATATTGTAATTGGAGAGGTTGTGGGAGGGGTGGGGTGAAAGTAATGTGCTTCTTGGCAACCTGTTGGCAATCATTCGTGCCAACTTTTCGAAGAAATTTACGTTTGGAAAATTACTCACCTTTCGCCATGTGGCCTGGAAACCATTTTAAAAATATGCTAGGATGAAAATGTTCCGGAAGGCGAAAAGATGGTCGGAAACTTGCATTTGCAAGCCACAACTCCGCGCGGTTCACGTAAGGACTAACTGCCATGTTGGACAACCGCAGAGAGCATGCTGGGACTATTTCGACTGCTGGATAACGGGCATTGCAGACGGATAAACAACGCGTTCGCGAAATCGCGTTTGATTATTTTCATAACGTATCTACTCAATGTAAAACTTGACAAACAAACTTAGAAAAGTCTTAGCCATTTATTCCTTGGTTGTGCCCTGTAAAGTGAAAAGATAATGCCTGGCGTCACAAGTAAGTTTCGTGTGCAACGTTATCATCATCGCATTCATGTGGATTGGTGTGAAACACATCTAGCTGTGGCGTGTTGTTGTCTTTAATTCAAGAAACAATTACGCTTTGGGATGCCTAGGGATCTAGGTCTATTTTACGTAAAGCCTGTCTTAAAAATTTCCAGGTAAATTACCAGATGGCTGGGAGCGTTCAGAAACGGCTAACGGCATTCCATACTATGTAAAGTAAGTTCATATTTGCTTGGAGATTTTGTTTTGTGGAAGTTTAACCAACTTCAGTCCGCATTATTGTACTTTGAATTTGATTTATCTGAAAATATAACTGTGGAAGTAGAAACTGGAAGACGTCAATACTTATTTCTCCTTTTAAAGCTTAAAACATACCTCAACAAACTAATGGTCTCTAGAAATGTCGTAGTAAAGAAAGTCGTAAGATTTCCGCACAATCCTTTATTATGCATATAGTTTTTGGATAAAGAAAACGATGACCAAAACAGCAGAGTGCGTTTGGGGCTACGTCTTTGTTTTAGAATAGCATGGGACTGTGTGGAAATCTTTCCTTTCGGTGAGATTGCGTCTCACTGATAGGGAAAAGGTTTATTGGTTAAGTGAACAATTTTAAACTCATAAAGTTAAATTTGTACTTAATGTGTCTGTTTTTATTGATCTGACACAATACTGATTGTAGATAAAGCTAACCGAAAGTGGCTGAATACAGTTTGCATGTGGTCAGCCACAGTTTGCCTGATGGTTATAAATCACACAAACAAACATGGCAGTGAAAACTCGGTTGTTGAAGTGCAGTATTCCTACCAGAAGTTGGATGAGCAAATCAGTCAAGATGTGTCCAACTCGGTTTATTTGTGAAAAAAATTGTGGAAATCAGTTTACTTAGCTAAATTGTCTCCAAAAAATTTGGAGTAAAGTTGCCACAACAGCATAACCTACTGCTGCCAGGAGGAGAGCCACAATAATAATTTATTTTTCAGTGTTTCATTAATTACCCTACTGCTGCTACTGTTTTCAAGAACTTCTTACTGTGGACAGACAGAAGAGAAAAGCAAAGGAAATGTTAATGTCAGCTAAAAAACAACCCATTTTATCTTTCACCCCAAGTGTAAGCTGCAAAGTGCAAGGCAATGATTAAGGCAGCCAGAGGGGAACTTTTCAGGTGACACTCAATTTATCCCACCCAAAAACAAGGGAAAAAAATTGGCTGAACATCGCATTCTTTATGGCTAGAAACATGACCCAAAGAATGTTGTATTTTCTTTAATAATCCTTAAAATCATGCCAGTACTGCAAATTGGTCAAAATATGCAAACTTTATACAATATTTTTTCTCTTTACTCAAAGCCAACTTTCCAAAAATAACTTGAAAGAGTTGAATGATTTAATTTTGGTTCTATCAATTTTTCTAAGGCCCTCTCTATAATTAGCAAAGAGACATAGCAAGGAGTATGATTTTAAGGTTTATCCTACCAACAAAGTAAATTTCTCCTCGTGCATCTCAGGTAAACAAATTCAAAACAACTTGGGCTGTTGGGGAGAAAATTTTGCATTGTGGAGGCAATTCTTTGCAGACAGTTCCTTTATGCAAGTGTCACTTGATGATTTCCTTGAAGATTCAAAGCACTCAAATTCTCATGGAAAACTTGTTCTTATTGGCCATAACTCTGCTTTCAACTGCCTTTGCTGAGAGAGTCCAAGATACCTTGCAAGAGCTGTTTCAAAGCATGAACAAGTTGAATATCTGACAGTCTCATTGTGTTCCAAATTTTTATAAAGAACACACACACAAGGTGCTCAAACAAACAATGGCTCCTTTGTGAAAATTAATCTAGCATTGCTTCACAGAGGTCTTTTTTTCAATGCCATGATGCACTTGAGGATGTAAAGGTGCTAAATAAAATGCTCTTAAAGTCCTCTCTGAACTTATCCCCTTCCACAATTGTCAACAAAAGTGGCACAACAAAACTAAACACAGTCATTGAGGAATTGAATTACATGAAGGTCACACTCTCTTAAAGTCATTTGATAGGGCAATTGGTGATTCATCACAAGGCAGGATTACAAAGAAGTCCATGGCCAGAAGGCTTGCAGAGCCTGATATTGGCTACCATCACTTGAAGACACTTTTTACGACTAAAGGAGAAAGGGGGGTTCTTGCCATTTTTGCCAATCTGCCAGCAAGCAGTTGAACTTGTTGTGTTTGAAGAACTGCACACCCTCTGACATTACACAAAAAATGTCAAGTCATTTCAAAGGAATTCTGTGTTTATTTCATTTACTTCATGGCTTTTTATACTTGAGGAGGGTGTCTAATCTCAACCAAAGAATTCCATAAGGCAATGAGCGCAAAAAATAAGGGTCACAGTGTTTGAAATAAATTACCTTGAGCTGCGCATGTGCATTAATGAAAGCATGTGAGACTACCCAATTTTTTGACCTACCGAGATGATGTACTCAAACATGAATTTTTTCACAGTTTGCTCATTAGAATTTGATAAAGTTTGTCAGAATCCCATTTTAAAGGCACTTCAAAAAAATGAAAACTCTGAAAACAGAGGAAATCTGAGAAACAATTATATTCACAGGGCAGCTTTATTCTTATTTTTTTAAGCATACTGTTAAAATGTTGTCAAGTTAATATAAAACAATATTAATCTGTGATGAAGCTTTGTGCAAGTTCATGGGAAAATCAATGTTGACATGAAAACAGTTGAAGGTGTCAGTAATAGTGGTTAATAAAAAATTTAATCACTATCTTTTCCTAATGTCAAATTTCAGCTTATTTGCTGCAATATTTCTCACATAGTGTCTCAGTGGATGACAGATACTCAAAACCTATCGGCCACGCTAATAAGATTAAAGTTTGCTGATTAGCTTATTTGTGCTAATCAGTTCATTCTAGATTCTTTGTTGGAGTTCCAAAATGGTCTTGTGTTCCTTATAGTTATGAAAATGATGTTGGCAAAGTACGTGCAATTGTTTTCACATTCTCATTATTACCCATTAAGCTTTTCATAACCTAGATACAGAGGAAATTAATTGATTATTTTTTAAGAGTACTTCTTGTCATAACTTTAGAAAATCACTTACAATACCTTTTTCTCTTATGGCAGTCACGAAACTGAGAAAACCCAGTGGGATCATCCAGAAATGGTTAGTCTACTGGAGGAGACAGGTGAAGTGAATTATAATCTGTATTGTGTGTTGAAGTTAAGTTGATTCTTGATTTTCCTGCTTCTGGATGAAACAAAGTATTTCAGCAAAATGAGCAGATGTACTGCCATTTTTGTGTGGTTTCACTTGCCCTCAAGCTTGTGCAATTTTGC